TCCATGTCCAGATTTTGGTAAACTTGTGCTTGTCCAGAGTTTTCGCGGTATTTGACCATTTTTCTTCCCGTAGAATCTTCCTTCTTCCTCTCCTACGTCTTCGCTGCTTCTGTCTTCGCAACAGTTTACCGCTTGTCTCCGCCGGCTCTTCTTGTATCGGTTGGCAGCATTCACCTAGGAACGATGGGGACCATCTTCCATCCTCCCCTTGTTTTGTGCAGTCCCAGTGGATCCATTCGCTGCAACCGTTACATTTGACCGACCACGTTTTGCGTGTTATCCCCTTCCGACACTTCGTGCACTTCCAGGTCTTTGATGGACCCGGGTTCTTCTCCACGTCGTGCAACAGTCCAAGTCGGATTGCCGCTAACGCGTGCCTTTGTCCCGTTATCGCCTTGTTTCTCCTCCGGTGGTCGGCTACTCCTCCGGCGGGTTTGATAGGGGTATTGGACTCAGCAGTGTAGCCTAGGCTAAACCCACTGCTGAGCCTCAGTACCCCCCCCTGGTTTGGCTTTTGTTCTCCTTGACGGATCTGCGCTTCTTCCCTCTTGCCGGGACCAAACCATGAAGAAACAATTTCATCTTCTAATTCGAATTTGTCGCCTTCTTCCTCGTATGGACTTAGAATTGATCTGGGCTTCTTCTCTGCTGGATCTGTAATTTGAGTTTAATCTATAGATCTGTGGTTTAGACATGTACTGCCATTGATATTGGATGAATGGAGTTCAATTTTCGTCTCTAAAACTATTTAACAAGTTTATCACAACAATTATGCTAATTGCATCTTACGTGATTCGAAAACAATGCAGGAGCTATTGTCTTGTAACAACCGAGAAAGGCCAGTTTTCCCCATTTCTTTAAATGGTTTCTTAGCTTGCATCAGTTTCTCACAAAGGCAAATATTTGTTACCTGCCATATTTTGTGTTTCTTTTCCGATTATACATAAATAATGTTTTTCATAATTATAATTGGCGCTGAGCTTCGCCTTGCCTCTGTGTTACATTGGGCCAAAGCAAATATTTTTGAAGCTGTATCTAGACACCATCCTTGAAGTAGTTTTTCTGCGCATATCAATCGCTGATGAGACTTTTGTAACCAGGCAAGTAGGACTTTTCTTAATTTAATTTAGATTGTGGTCATTTTTGTCTGATACTGGATGCCATTTTTGATACTTTAGAACGTAGAATGTTTTTTTTTCGTCTTTTTTCTTAGTTTTAATTTTCACAAGTTTTTCTAAATTTAAATCTTTTTTATCTTGTCTGATTATCTTTCGAATACACGTCAGGTTTGTCAATTAGTTTCAGTGTTAATGAAGGTACTGAAGTTTGATTTACTAAGGTTGATTTTTTCATAGATTTTTCACCCCGGTTTTCTGATGTGGCTGTTTGAGTTTTAACACTTTTGACGTTGAACTTTTAACGCTCTTTCAGTTTTGGTTCCAAGCTGAGCTCAAATTACGCAAACGAAAGTGAGATTGACGCAAAAAGTGGAGATCTAAAGTTAACTTTTTTTATGGGGCTCGGTAATTCAATTCTCTCAAGTTGGGCTAGTTGTGCTATCATCTGCCGTATCAAATGTAGAATGAATTATACGCAGTCTGTTCTAATCGATGAAATCATATTTTGTTAATTGCTAAGTTCAACAACAGTAGCCGATTGCTGTGCAAATGGTACAGAAGGTTGAGAACAAGCCTCACACCACTAAAGTACACATAGTTTGAACGAAAGTTCTTAAATGCTTGGCAGAATACCACCAACAAGTTCATCAAATTAGCTCAAATTTGACCGGAAAACCGAAAGTTCTCTTTCACAACTCCGAGCAGGTTACTCAACTCACTTCAAAAGCTACCATCATAAATAAAACAATATTTTACCCAATGTCTACCCAAGTTGTTCTTGAGAATCTTGATATCGACAATCTCTTTCACTGCCGAGTTCACCCTACGTCTCTTACTATCGAGAATTAGATCTTACTTGTTAACTGAAATTCCCTCATGAGTCTGGCATGGAATTTCTTTCAGTTCTCCTGTCGCCGGAAAAACTTGACCTCCAGAGCCTGCATAAAATTTTGAGCCTGCAATACAGGGTAGCCGTCAACACGAGGTTGAAAATTTTACCATTGGAAAATACGGTGTACAAAGTTTTAGCCGCTAGAGACCTTGGGGTAAATACTATGCTATCATCATCATAATTGGGCATAAACAAAAAATTCCATTGCCCCTTCTAGGTCTGCAACATAATCAGCTCAAAACAGAGATCGCTGTAGCTACAACTGCAACATTAACCCCAGTTATAGTCCATAAACACATTTTTTTTGCAAAAGTCTCAAAAGGTACAAATATTACGAAAATTTGTTTATTAAAAAATTTTATTTTTTGAGGGGACGGACGGAGGTTAAGAAAAAGGACTTATTCTCGAAGCCATTAAGATAATTACTGATCTTCGTAGAAGCTGCTCTCCTCAGACCATGCTCTGATGTTCTCCCCAGACAATGCCCAAAAAATAACTTAAAGCGTTTTCAAATTGTTATAAAGATTTTTTTCAGGTTAACAGTTAGTGTAACTAAACAAGTTGAATCATTTGTTATCTTAATAAGTTGAATCATTTGTTCTTAGAATGAATGGAAATTTTTTAACAGTTGCGGCACACTTACTCTAGGGGTAAATACTACGTCTAGACCTAATTTATATTCAAAAAAATTGTCCTCCGTTTGTTTGTATGCATGATTTTTTGGCCGAATTGCCCAACTTGGATTTTTTTCAGTTGTAAGCAAAGTAACTTGTTATTGCCAATGAATTTTTTTTTGAATTTTTCCTGTATTTTGTAAATTTATTGCATCTCAATTTTTTGTATGCTCTCTTTTGGCTGAAAAGTTTTGAAGGGCAACAATTGCTTCGGTTTTATTTGAATCAGCTGAGTAAACTCATTTTGCGTCGTTTGAAAGATCTGCTTCGCCTGTTTTTTTTTTTCAAAAAAAAAACTAGTCGGAAACTCTGTGCCATTTTAATAGTAGTTTAACTGGAGTTTTAGCTAGAACTACTGGAGCGATACTGGGTCTACTGCTGAAAAAAGGGTTCAGATAGAATTAAAATTTTTGTCTGGTTTTTTTATTTTGTCTCAATTTTGTCGGCTGACTTGCCAGTTGTTTTTATTTCTGTAACTTTTTCTTAATTTTTTCACTTTTTTTCTTCATTTTCCAGATGGTAAAATTAGTGCATTTTTTTTGTTTTTGTACACTCAAAAGTTGTCAGTTGTCTGTTTGAAAAGAAAAAATTGAAATTAAAAAACTTGATTTCAGAATTTTTCTTCTTCAATACATCTCGCAATTTTTTGAAATGCATAATTTATACAAAATGTAATTTTATGCTTTCCAATTTATAACATGCTAGTGTGGATTCCAAGTTAGTGTGTATACCTTCAGTTTGTTTTATTCCAAATTATTACATGCTAAATTGTGTCTAATTTGTATTTGGTGCCACTTTTGCTGCATGGCAATGGCAATTTATTAGCATGTGTAGCTGCTTTATTTTTGGATAGTGTTTGCCGATTGTAAGTGCTCGCAGCCAAGAGGGCAGCGCGTGAGGCTCCAAATCTTGAGTTTGCAGGTTCAAATCCGATATCTATTAAAGTATTACATATTCGAAGCTTATTTCTATTTTTCGTAATTCGTTTTATAAGGCTGATTTTTGTAATCTTCTTGCTAATATTTGTGTCCTCTGTGTTTAATTTGTCAAAACGATTTCGAAAAAGATTCCTTATTTTCCAGAGAATTTTTTTTTGCAATTTTGACATGGTTGATTTGTCTACGGAGATATGTGGTAAGTTTCACACGAGATTCAGGAGTGCAGCTCTTTTTAGCCAAATTTATAGAAAACTAATAAATGTTCGTTTTGTTTTTTTTTCTCGTATTTTTTATGAATTTTTTGTAATCCAGCTATCCTTAAGTAGCATTTCAACTTCAAATTAGATAAATTTGATGTTATTGGGTTGTTTTAGAAGCCTTGGGATTTAAAAAAAAACCATTTTGCAATTTTTTTTCTTGCGGAATTTTTTTTTTGAAACTTATACAGTCATTTGTATTTTTCTATTTGTTTCCTTCGTTTTGATCTTAGTTGGTTAGCAATTCACGGACAGGATCTTTTCGTTACCTCAATTTTTCTTGTAGAGCATGTAGGTTGTTTGAATGCAACGTTTTTCACGTAGTTTCACAAACGAAGTGGTGCGAAGATCAGCTTCATTTCTGTGTTTACACTAGCGTAAGCTCAGTGTATTATTGCAAATTTCACTGTAGCATTGGAAATTGCGTACCATCTGTTATCTGCTTTATGTCCTAGTTTTTGTTAACAATTTAATTTTCGTGGCTGAGTGGTGAGGGTGAGAGACTGTTAATATCGATGTCGCATGTTCGAATCTCAGACGTAGCCGATTTGTTCGCTAATTCGAAGCTTATTTCTAATTTTTCTTGATTGCTTTTTATAGAGCTGCTTTCTTGCCGCGTTCTCGCTAATGTTTGCGAGGCTGTTTTTTTTTAAGTTGTGTAAGTTGTTTTTTTTTCTCAATTTGCTGTGTAAGTTGCTTTTTTTTTCTCAATTTGCTTTGCAAAATTAATTGGGATCAATTGACCTTGTGTGCTATAAGCGGATCATCTGGCTTTTATCTATCTATAAAACTGGTTCTCATTTTTAGCTAACACAGATAACACCAAATCACCAAATGTAGTACATAACGTACAAAATATTGCAACGAGAAAACATACTCTTTCAACTGAAGAGTGGTCATAAAATTTTGAAATTTCATAATAAGTTTAAGTGGTCACAACACATACCGTTGCTTTATTCACAGTTTTCAAAAACATGAAGTTGCCTTGGTTACTATTCCAAATATCGAAACTGTTGTGGAGGAACTTTGGATTCGGGTATATGTCAGTTCATGCAAATATTGAATTCAGCTACTTAGCGATTTGGGGTTTGTCCCTTTAAGTATAGAAATTGATCAAAACGTTTAAAAGATGAAGTGAATTAAAGCTAGTCAATTGTATTTGCTATTCAAAATATAAATACAAATGTTTAAATATAAATGATTGAAATATGTGAAAATTATTTTAGTTTGCGAGTCGCTTGTGTCAACTCACTCAAAAATGCAGCATCTTTGTTACTGCCGCCCGAACTATTTTTTGGCCTTCTCGGAGATTCCGACCTGGATCTCATCTGAGATTTTATGTGAGAAACACTGGCTAAAAAACTGTTGAAAACCGAAAACAATTGAGCTGGGTCGGTTGATTTGTCCTCGGCAAAAAACGTCAGCAAACTGTTGTAGCTCTTTTCCAATTCGCAAAGAAGGTCTTTGCATTTGATAATTTGGAAAACACAGTCAAGTTGCAGAAGTTTTTGAACTTGCTCTACAAAAAATTTCTCTGGGCAATTTTCAGTAGGGAAGTCCAACTGATTAGCAACAAATTGCATTTCCTTTATTTTCACTACTGACTCCTGAGCTTTTGCTGAGCTCTTAGATAGAAACTCAACAGGCGTTTTAAGCATGTAGAATCCATCTCGTTTTCCAGTTTTTGGCGGTTTCGGTGACAAATCTCCTGTTAGAAATTCCACGTTTCTCATGTCAATTTCTTCGGTCACTTCCAAAACTGCTGGGTTTTCTGAGTTGATTAGATCTACAATATAATTAAGCAAAGTATAATCAGGCGAAGTGCTTTTCACATCAATAAAGCGGGGCAAGGAATCCATAATTGAAAATGCTTCTGCTTTTGGCTTTCTGGCACCTTCATTTAAAAGGTTTCCCACTGAAAGACAGAATTGCAGCAAAGTATGCAGCTTCTCATTAGATTGCAAGTTTCGACAAACGCCTAAAGCGGCTTGAATGTTTGTTTCTACTTGTAAACACTGATCTCGAATCTCAGTTACCGAGTGTAGAATATCCAATTTGAGATTGAAGTTAGGAATTTTGCAGATTATAGCCATGTTTTTATGCACTGCGGGAAGATCGGATAATTGGTCTTCGGTTAGATTTGAGAAGTGTTTCAAATCTGCGTCTGAAGGTTGAAAGTCTCGGATTTGTTGCAGAAAGTGAGTTTGGCTCTCAACATCAGTGAGCGAAAAGTACATGTTGAGAAGGTTCTCGTCCAAATCGAACTCTTTCCGCCTGAAAAAAAAGCAATAAACAATTTGTTTATCCTGATGATGTCCTAATCGTCTAACTAGCATGATACAAATGTTCTAATTTTTGTATTCTCACAGTGAACCTAAAGGTGATTTTAAATTTTACCCAGCTCTAAATCTCCTGAAACAATGGATTATTTCTAGCTTAGACGTCTTAGATTGTCTTAATTATTCTAACTTTAATATAGACAGTATCTAGAAAAATATATATTCGCAAAAATTTGCTTTGGAAACTTACTTGATGAACAACTCCAAATTCCTGGCTCTATTTTGATCCAAATTGTAAACCACTTTCGTGTTGGAACTTCTAGCCGTCTTCTTTTTGCTTACGTTAGCTTCAACTTTGAAAAGTGACTCCAACTTTTTCTTTTCAGCTTCGCTTATAGTGACATTTTTAGCAGCGCCTTTCCAAAGCGATGAGTCGATTTTATCATTTCCCGAAATTGCTTTCCAATGAATTGCTTTCAAGCTTGGCCCCTTTTTGCTGCCGAGAAAACTTTTGCGCGAGTGCAATTTGGGAGCGGGCGGGGGAGGTGGTGGTGGTGCTCCTCCAAAAGGTGGTGGAGGTGGAGGTGGTCCCCCTCCAAATTGAGGTGGCGGAGGAGGCATGGGAGGTAGTGGTGGACCAATCGAAACTGGAGTTGGGGGTTGAACGACCACAGGTGGTTGAGGAACTGGTGGTCTTATGGGCGATGGCGGCGATGGAAAAGACTTCGGGGATCCCGGTTCTATGCTCCCTCCTAATCTCGCAGGTGGTAAAATTTGGCTCAAGCTTTCGGGTCTCGGTGAGTGATCTGATTTTAAAATAGGCCCTGACACCTCAGAGCCACTAGTGAACGCTTCTAGAGTTTCAGGAGTCGATCTTTGTTCCGAGCTGTTTTCGATTGTCAAATTATCGGAGCGTTCGCTGCCGACGATGGAAGGCGTAGGTGAGGATAAACTAACTGGCTCAGGTTGTTTTTCATCGTTGCAATAAGGACTGTCATTCGCTTTTTCTTCTTGCTCTTCGTCTAGAATATCTTCAAGTATTACGTAATGGTTCTCGTTCGGTTCTTCAGTAATCAAACTGATCACGTTGCTATCATACGCTTTTTGAGGTAAGTTTTCTTCTGTTTCAGCTGTATGAGAGCTATTTGCTTGTTCCGTTTTGGCGACCTCGTTTTCACTCATGTTTTCATAATCTGATCTAGGCTGTGATTTGTTTTCTTCATCTGACGGTTCTGTATTTAGGTTGTCATAAACTGACTGAGGTCGGCTATCCGAGTCGCCTCGAGAATCTTCGGATCTTTTCAGAGGCAAGTCGTCATTTAGCACAATTCCTATTGGCTCATTTGGGTCAGGTTCTAAAGTACTGTAATCCGATTCTAAAACTGGTTCACTGGTTTTCGTAATAGCCGAACTCCGATTGGATATGTTTGGAGAAATGTTTTGATAAGGTTCCGGAGGTGGTGGAAAATTGGGCGAAACTTCTGATTTCTGGCTCAAATTTGATTCTGTTTCGGTTATTAGTTTTTCAACAGGTTTTAAATAATTTTCATATGTTTCTTCGGGACAATAAGTCACACTTTCTAGTTCAAGGTAAACGTTCGAAGTTCTGTTGTTTTCGATTTCACTTTTGGTCGAATCTTTTTTCTCGTTTCCAGAGCTGCTTATTGCGCTGATGTCCAGAGATAATTGGTGAACAGAATTATTTTCACTGGCAATAAAGGGCGAGTTTTCAACTGATGATTCTTTAGCACTACTTGCAGCTCCTACTGACGACGCACAACTTCCGTTGGGATTTATCTGCAGATTTTCAGTCAACAGAACAACTGATCCGCTTTTACTAGAAACGTTTGAAGGTCTCCTCTCTGCCATATTTTGCTGCAATTGTTTTAAAAAGTCTTCCATTCTGCTTAAATGATAACTGGATGCTTTTGAGTCTAACTTCACGGCGTAAATTTCTTCGAATAGTCGTTCAAAAAGACCCTCAGGTCTTAGTTGTTGGTCTCTTTGTCTTATAACTTCATTTAAGTTAAGATTTTGGGCATTGGTTAGTTTACTCACCCAGTTATTAAACACCATATGATTCATATTTGGCTCTCGAAAAACAAAAGTCGTGAAACCGTCGTTGATTCGAATCTGACAATTAATTGGGTTTGATGTTATAACTGCTTTTCCGGTTGCAATATCAATAGATCGCTTGTAGTTTTGTTTCTGACTGACTAAACTGCGATAGTAGAGTTTCGAGCCTTCAAGATGAACCTCTTTTTTGCTCCAAATATTCAAACTTTTGGACTTCTTTTCCAAAATGCCCGAAAACGATTCTTCAGTTCCGTGCTTTTGGTTTAAAAATGATTTCAGCCTGCAAATTATTTCTTCACGATTTTCTGCATTTTCAGTCTCAAGCAATAAATTTTCCTCGTTTTGAACCTCGATTAAAATACAATGATCGCTAGAAGCGTTAATGAACGTTTTTCTTTCGACATTTTTAACATCAGACAGCCAAATTTCACTTTCGACGCAGCCGCGACCTATTATAATCAAACTCTCTTGATCTAAGTCGATTTGAAGATTCTGCTTTTTGCTTTGTCTTCGTCCAGTTGGACTTATATTGTAGACTGAATAGCTAAATACAGGGCGGTCAATTTCTAAGCTTTCTAGTCTTTGAAGTTTGATTAATTGTTCCGCCTCCTCCTTCGATTTATGCTGCTCGTGAACAATTTTCATAATTAGTGCCTCGTTGATATCAATGTTTTTAGACTTCCTTTGAATAGTGAAATACCTGTTGTTGATTGAACTTAAAATATTGTCAAATGAGCTGCTTTTCAATCGATTAGGAGCTCGGTTGTTTTGAAATTCATCTTCTTCGAGAAGCAAATCGGCCGATCTGTATCGCGAGTCGTTTTCATTCCGATTTCTTTGTTCGCTGCTTCGCATCGGTGAGTCATGTCGGTCCGAATCATGGCGTGTACTGGCCGTTCGTCGTTTGTGCCATTGATCTGAGACACTAGTTTTAGTGCTTTGGATAATTTTAGAAATCTTCTTGGTTAAAAATGAGTTCTGCCGTTTGTGGTTCGAGCCTCCCGAATGTTGTGCGCCTGATGATGATGACGATCCACAATCGTTATTGTTCGCAAATACGTCATTTGTAGTTTTCGATCTTTCTGACTTGAATGGAAAATGAAAGGAGGATTTCTGGCTTAATTTGTGAACGTTTTGTGGTTGTTGGCCATTATTTGCGGATAAATTTGAGTAAGAGCTTTCGTTGTCAGATAGATCTTCTTGTTTAGATGCTAGTGGTGAGTCATCGCGACGTGATGCGCCGTTTTTCAGAATGCCTACCGGCGATCCTGCCGCGTGATCGGATGGCATAGCCATTGGAATTGGCGTGTAAGGCGTGACTAATTGACGGCTGATTGGTTTGACAGGGGAGGATTGATCTGAATTTGTGGTTTCGTCGCACAGGTTGTTTTCAAATGAGCGACAGCGACTGAGATCTAATTTCTGTCTCTGACGGTGAATTTGGTACGGCGCAACAGGCATAATCGAGGGGTGTGTATGTATTATCTAGTGCGATTTGGATGTTGTTCACGCTTGTTTGTACAGATAATCTGCCTGCAACATAAACAAAATTTTAATTGGAATATGGAAATGATGTTATTTAATTTTTATAAATTAACACAAAAGTAATATCAAGCAGACGTATTTTTTTTCCAAAAGTAATAGGTAGGATAGCTATTCGATGGTAGTTATCTTATAACAAATGCAATTTTTTTCTTCGAGTTTTCGCACTTTGTAGGTAGAACTAATTGTGACACTATCAATTAAAGCTTGATTTGGTAACTAAACTTGTGTCAATTCTAATTATGTGACTAAAATTTGAAGTGTTATCTTTTCATTACCAATTTGATTGAAAAAATGTGTGAACTACCAAAAGTAGTCACAAATAGTTTCGTACTTCATACCAGTTAAAACTCCAAGTAGGCCTGCTTCAAAATGAAAATCGTGTTTGGTACAATATTTTTAGCGTTGACTCATTTTACAAACTGGCATCAAAATTGTTCTCGTCAAGCGTTGAAAAAGCTCACCTTAAATGGCCATAAAATCTTTCTCAAAGTGAGAAAGTTAGCATAAAACCGGAAATTTTTAACTCGGTTCAAAATCTTCATGTATTTGCCAGTATTGGTTATTTTTGATAATTTGTACAATATGCTAGGAATAAATGACTATGGACTATAAGCTACCGCAAGGTATAAACTTGCGTGGAATAACAGCTAAGCTACGAGCTTAAATGTATTGCCGCCAAATTACGTGATATTTAGATCACAATACCTTAAAATTATAGCCCATATATATAAGAATGTATTTCCTTTTCCATAAATTTCCCAGACCGTTCTGCGTTCAGACCATGGGTTGAAAGGAAATTGGGAATGTGAGGTTGGAGTTGCTTTGTGAAATCTTTTGCCCAACTTATTTACTTGTTTATCTAACTTGGTTCCCATTACCCCGTGGAGACGCATTTGGTAAAATGATAAGAAATGAAGGTATGAGTCGAATTTTAGCTAACTTCATGTAACTTCACCAAATGATAAGTTAATATGAAAATTTATTCGTGTTTATGAAGGTTCCTTAACTCAACGCTCGATGGCATAAGTATCAATTAGCAGAAATTTGATTTTTTTTATAGAACTTAGTTTTTATATTTTTCATTTTCCATTGTTGATTCTAATCACGAGTCCAATTTGGGGATATTGAGTGCAGCCGCTTCAAAGAAATTGGATCGAAATAATTGTTGATTCAAATCACGAGTCCAATTTGGGAATATTGAGTGCAGCCGCTTCAAAGAAATTTGATCGAAATAATGTTATCCTAACTCATGTTCGGCATGTCTTACAAACAGCAGTCCCAGTATTTTAAGCTGGAACCCAATTTCAAACTGCTTACATAACCGACTGCTGGAACATACCAGTAACAAGAAAAGCTTGTTTCTAAACTAGCAAACATGTGCTATTCAGGCGTTCACATTTCAAACCCAAATCCCATGAAAATAGTACCATAGTATGTTGGAATGGCTTGTGGTTTGGGTAAACTATATATTTACGTGAGGATTTTATTGCCCATAGCTTTAAAGTGACAACTGATTGATTCAACAAAACGGATCATTGTTAGTGTTTTCTTGGTTCAATAAAAATTTTAGATTCGAACTTAACGTATGGGTTGATATTTGTTGTTCCCACCATTGAAAATGGGGACGAACTTTGTGTTCGGGTGTGTATTAGTTTTTTTGTTCTTTTTTTCCACGCACAATCAGATACCACAAAATTTCATCGGACTACGTTGAGTGTTATATCATATTAAAGTCAGTTGTGATTCGAACGATATTAAAAAACTTTCCAGAGTTAAGAAAAATTAGTTTGAAAATTTTGGCCTAATTTTGAACAAATAAAGGCGAGCGAGCAGGTTTACAATAGTTTACTACACAAGCATTGCTTGTGTTATAGTACGAACTCACTTTTTTTCTCCAACCTAAGTCGCAAATATTGTTGCTACGCAAATATTGTTGCGACAAAATGTGTTCATTTTGAAAGTGTTCATTTTGATCAGTAACCAGATATCAAATACCGCCAATGCTAAGGATATTAACACAAACTATTATATTACAAATTCCTGTTTGATAAAAACAGGTATTATGAAAACCTATGGGATCGCGTTTTTTTCATTGCTTTTTTTTGAGACGCTTTGGAAAATTTTCGTTTTTCTCAAAAACGACTACCAATTTTCAGAAGAGTGGTACCAATGGAAACTCCGGCCACTTTTCACTCTCCCGTGTGCCTGCATACTCCCCTGTCCTTTTTTTTAGCGTACTCCACTTTCTTCAGCCTTCGAAAACTACCCACGTAAACCTGCAATTTTTTGTTCAATGATTAGAACAGATTGTGGGAAGCTCCTCTGCATAAGCGGCTAGGCCCATTTTTTTTAAACAGTAAACAGTTATGGCCCTCAAAAAAGTCAATCCTCAAAAAAGTCAATTTTTCTATTTTTTGATCATTTTTTCTAAACTTGGACTCTCTCAAAAATACCCTCCCAAAAGTGAGATTTCAGTTTCAATCGATCAGACGGGTTGTGATGAGCTCCCCTGATATAGCGGTTACGCTCAAATTTTTTCAGACAAAAAGCATTGACCCTCAGAAAAGTCAATTTTACGAGTTTTTGACCGTTTTTTGAAACTTTTTGATTTGTCTCGAAAAGTACTTTCAGAAAGTCTGAAGTTTTGGTTTCAAGGAGTGAAATGGGTTGTGGGAAGCTCCGTTTCTTAAAGGATTACGCTCAGTTTTTTTGCACAAAAGTTACTATCCTAAGAAAAGTTAGTTTTTTGATTTTGTGACCGTTTTTTCCAACCTTCTGACTTTTCTCAAAAACTGCCCTCCCAAATTAGAGATCTTGGTTTCAATATGTAGAATGGGCTGTGGGAAGCTCCCCTGCATAATCAATTACGCCTTATTTTTTTCTTACTCAGAAAGTTAGGGCGCTCCGAAAAATCAATTATTCGACTTTTTGACCGTTTTTTGAAACTTCGTCTTTTTTTCTCGGAAACTCCCCCCCCCCGAAATATGAGGTTTTGGTGTCAATGAGTGAAATAAATTCCTATTACGCTCATTTTTTTTCACAAAAACCTATGACCCTCAGAAAAGTCAATTTTTCGATTTTTTACCGTTTTTTTGAAACTTTTAGACTTGTCTCGAAAACTACCCTTCCAAACATGAGATTTTAGTTTCAACCGAGAAGACGGTTTGTGGAGAGTTCCCTTGATATAGCAGTTACGCTCGAAATTTTTCAGATAAAATGCTATGACCCTCAGAAAAGTAAATTTCACGAGTTTTTGACCGTTTTTTGAAACTTATTGATTTTTCTCGAAAAGTACCCTCAGAAAGTCTGAGAGTTTGGTTTCAAGGAGTAAAATGGTCTGTGAGAAGTTCCACTGCTGAAAGGATTGGGCCCAATTTTTTTCTACACAAAAAGTTTTGACCCTCCGAAAAATCAATTTTCGATTTTGTGACTGTTTTTTCAAACCTTTTGACTTTTCTCGAAAACTACCCTCGCAAATCTGAGATTTTGGTTTCAATAGGTAGAACGGGTTCTGGGAAGCTCTCCTATGAATCGATTACGCCTTATTTTTCTGACTCAGAAAGTTACGTCGCTCTTAAAAATCAATTATTTGATTTTTTGACCGTTTTTGACAGTTTTCGATTTTCCTCGAAAAGTACTTTTCCAAATTCTGATGTTTTGATTTCAATGAGTAGAATGGGTTGTTGGAAACTCCGCTGCTTAAGTGATTGCGCCCAATTTTTTTCTACTCAGAAAATTACAACGCTCCGAAAAATCAATTATTTGATTTTTTGACCGTTTTTTTTGAAACTTCGATTTTTTTCAAAAAGTACCCTACCAAAATCTAAGATTTTGGTTTCAATGAGTGGAATGAGTTGTTGGAAGCTCCGCTGCTTTAGCGCTTACGCTCACATTTTTTCAGGCAGAAAGCTATGACCATCAGAAAAGTCAATGTTACGAGTTTTTGACCGTTTTTTGAAACTTTTAATTGAGCTTGTTTCAACTACTCGAAAACAACTCAATCTGATATCAAAGGTTTTATCAAAGCAACGGGTTGTAAGAAACCTCCGTCTATAAACTGCTACGCATTGAAGTTTGAACAAAAACATGTTTCTGTGAAAATTCCAAAGTTACAAGTTTTTTTTCACTCATTTTTATTAGAGCAACAACCAAGGTTTTGGGTGAAGCCCAATGCTTAAATTTCTTAAACTACCTACTCTATCCTGCATCAGTACAACAACTCGAAAAATATCAAACTGGTAACTCCAGCTGTAGATGGGCCTCTAATAGCCCTTTAGCATCAAGGTAGCATGGGTCTGTAGCGTAGAGATAGGGAAGGAGACCCGCAACAAAATAAGAAATCGGACCTGGACAGGGTCGGATGTTTTTGATGAACTTTTTCGTATACTAGTTAAAATGGGTCCGCTCTATAAATTGAGGCATGTTAGTTGGTAATTATCTTTTTTTAAAATGACTGGTACTGCAAATGCGTTATAATTAGCTGGCGTCACTTAGCATTCATGTAGACTCATAATTAGTGTGCGTCACTAAAAACATTTTGTAGAACCAAAATTTTTTTTAGTTTTTCTTAGTAGCGTTGTCAGTCATATTTTCGCTTGTGTATGCAAAGTCCAACTTCGCCCCTGTGTTTATGCTCAATTCAGGCCGCAAAAACCTAATTTTAGACGAGTAAGTTAATTTTTTGGATTGTTCCTGGTTGAAATTTTGGGAATCAAAAATTTCAAAATCTTCTGCATAAAAATTTGAATATTTTTTGAAATTGTTTTGATTTTTTCGATGTTTCATTTATTTTTTTCTAACAAAATCTTTTTTCCAATTTACCTATTTTACTGTGAATGACGCATATGCCTAAGTTGTAAATTTTCGTTCAGATCCATTTAGCATCCCACGCAGAAAAAAAACGATTCTACTATATAGTACTATATATCTTATATATCTTATATATCTACTATTCATACTAGTTATATATAGGCGTTAAAGACGCCCTTAGAACCTTAGAAAATTAATGGTTGGTTGGCGGAAAAAGGATGTTATAAAAATATTAATGGGGGACTTTTGGACTTTTGGTTGGTGAGGGGGGGAAGGGGGGAAGGGGGGGGGGGGGGGGGGGGAGGAGACGAGCGCCCTCTAACATCGACCACCACATCCCCCTTAAAACCCCCACTGAGTCTGGAGACTTGATTTTATCTGGGTTATCGAAAATCATGCAGAATACGTTGAAAAGGTCGAATTTCTTGGAAAAGGAGCCATCATTATTTCTTTTTTACCTGCCCTGACCAATACATTGATGGCTTGCGGTTGTGAGAAAAAAAGCTTTTGGTGCTGAAAAATTAATCTTATTGGAGGCTTACATTTTTCGATTGAAAATGCGCAGTGATAATTTCGCTTGTGAATTCATTTTTGAATTGCGATGAAAACTCACCTTGAGAACGAAGAAATTTCTTATACCTATTTTACTGTGAATGACGCATATGCCTAAGTTGTAAATTTTCGCTTGTGGGGGGGGGGGGGAAGGGGGGGGGGGAGGAGACGAGCGCCCTCTAACATCGACCACCACATCCCCCTTAAAACCCCCACTGAGTCTGGAGACTTGATTTTATCTGGGTTATCGAAAATCATGCAGAATACGTTGAAAAGGTCGAATTTCTTGAAAAAGGAGCCATCATTATTTCTTTTTTACCTGCCCTGACCAATACATTGATGGCTTGCGGTTGTGAGAAAAAAAGCTTTTGGTGCTGAAAAATTAATCTTATTGGAGGCTTACATTTTTTGATTGAAAATGCGCAGTGATAATTTCGCTTGTGAATTCATTTTTGAATTGCAATGAAAACTCACCTTGAGAACGAAGAAATTTCTTTTCATCTCGCTTGGTTAACAGGGCGAGCATTTTTGAAAGGTTACGCAAAACACGTCCTGAAGGAAAAGGGAGGGAAGTTACCACTGCGAGATAAGTTTAATCACGTGACGCAACCTTTTTTTCACGTGCAGTAGAGAATGAAAACGCCACTAGGGTTAGTTTTGCAGTGCAGATAAGGTATATTGTAAATTTTTCAACTAGTAAAAGAATTGGGTCTAATGGAATTTGGATTGATTGAATTTAGGAGGATAAAATAGCAGGATTAGACAAAAAAGGTGGATGAACTTGAAATTATTGGCTCGATTTGGGCCACGTAAAAGGCCCTAATCTGCGATTTTCGGTGCTCAGAAATTAAAAAAGCTGATATGACTAAGAGGGTCTAATTTCTAAGAATCAAGAAGTGACGTAACTACCAATAATGTAGTAAGTTGTTTGCTTTTAGGTTTAATAAAAAAAGACTAAAAAAGGTAATCTAATTTTCGGTGATTTTTATGGCAAAAATAAAATATTTAGCAATGAAGGTTCAAAAAGTGGACTTTTTCAATGTAGTAAATCTAAACAGCAATGAGCTATTTATGACAAATTGTGGTGACATATTTTGTTCACGTGGTTTCGTAGACGAAAGTGTTTTCCTACAGTCCCCGGGGCGTGTATGAAATAAACAAGGAGTATTATTTGCCCCCAACGAGCCACAATAGAACCTGCTTTAATTGGAAAGATCCCAAAAAGGAAATTAAGAAGGTATGAGTCATAGTAAGATTGAGTCAAAAAATTAAAAAGGTTATTGATCGATCTGTTTGGGGAATGATTTACTTAATCGAATGAAATTTTCTTTTTTTGGAACTGAAAAGAAGGAAACAATTATTAATAACCTTGTTGGAAAATTAGGTATAACTCTCAAAATTGAATATGATAACTATAGAGCTATATTGTGATCAAGTATTTTGGGCACATAGTTCTTTGAACATGTACCGTTTGAGCAAATTGTAAAACGTTTGATGCTGACATGGTTAAATAGCAAAGGTCAGATTCGATTCGATAGCAGTATAAGCTTCGTCAACAAGATGTTGATACCATTTTTGGGTGCGTATTTTGATGAAAGTTTGCAAATCTAACAATGGTGACATCCCGCAGTTAACTATCGTAATTAGTGAAATTTGCCGTACTTTTAACCCAGTTTGCCAAGCCAGGATTGTTTGGGTTTCGATTGTGAAAGTTGACAAATAATCGGTAGTTAGAGCAAATACACCAAACTAGATGAAACAAATTGCAATAGAGGGATTTTTAAATAGAGCGCTCTTATTTCAGGGCTCTTAGGAATCAGGGCTCTTAGGAGCGAACATGATGCGTGAACAAATGTGATTCATTTGTTAGGTTTTGAGATTTTATTCTCGTTTGCAGAATGGGGTCAAATCAACTGGGTCAATATAGAATTCGGCTGTGAATTAAACCACTGGTATACATTTTATGCTAGAGTAAATTGAGCTGTGAAGTTGCATGGATCTTTCATTTCTCTTGCGATATACAAATTTGCAATAAATTAACTGCATATATTTTTTCCAAAAAATGAAATCAAACAGTGAATTATTTGTAAAAGATATGTAATTGATAATTTTGTTGAACTTTTTTTTATCAAAGTAGTCGACGTTTGTTTGAACTTTGAAACGATTTTATCTAATTTTTTTGTACAAAATTGTCTATTTGTTCTTTCCTGTCAGACAAAATGAGCAACTTAAAAAATAGCACTTATGGGAATTAGCAGCAAAAGATGAACGGAATAGAGAAGAATAAATGATGCATTGAATTTCAGTTCTGGCAGATAAAACGCAAAAAATGACGCTGTGTTGTATTATATATTCAGCAAGGAAAAAAGTACGGACCTATTTTTATAGCCTTTCTTAATGACGTGTCTGTCTTTTTGTCTGCTAGCTATTGCTGATTATTTTTTGCATTTGGAGGTTGAATAAGAGAAAGCTGAGCTGATTGGGCTGTCATTTTTTAAAGGAGGCGTTTTTATGACGTTTGAATGCAGAAACGTTGAATTACTGATAAGAAAAAGACCTGAAAATTTTTGCAATGATTTTGTTTATTTTGTAAATTATCCGTACGAGGCCAAACTGTGCAATGAATAGGCGCACAATTTTGTGTCAGTACTATCCTGGATTCCAGAGATAAGTCTTTAAACATGTTCCAGAATGTAAGTGGATTCAACTTACAAACTTTCCGTGGATTCCGTGTACAAATACCAGCAACGTAAATTTTGTCAGCACACTTGTTGTGTTGCGGATTCCGCAACAAGCGAATATAGCTATTTGTTCTGGATTCCACAACTGTAAATGGATTCCGCAAAATATAAGTGGAACCCACAAAAGTTAGTAGAGTCCGAAAAACTTGTAAGCGGAATTCTGAAATGTTACCCAATTCTGCAAAGTGAAAATGATTGCCGAGAATTTTGTTTATCACTGAACTTGCAATTAGGCAAACAAAAGCTAGAGCTGGGATTCTTATCTATAGCAACGCGGAGTTTAGAAGCAGAGACTTAACGACTGTAAGCCAAATTCACGAAAAAATCTTAAAACATTGGTTAACAAAATCGGTGGATGTAGACCTTAAGTATTTGGGATACATATCCCAGCAAGCAATTGTTTGGATCATAGTTTTGAGAACACAACAACGAATAAGTGTTTACACAACGGAAACACAATGCAAAACATATTGCCGAATTAGGTCAGTATTTGGAAATCCACTGATTCCAAATACTGATCTAGCAGGCGAAAATTGATTTCAAATCATGACGGCAGTTTTGAGATGAGTCGAATGTGAAATAAACTCATGAGGGCAGTATTTGAAATGAGATGAGATGAAAGCACACCCATTTTACACCCTGGGCACTGCTGTGATAGAGTTGTTCTCGAAAAAGTAAATATGAAAGACCGGTCCCGCATGCGTATTGTCATACCTCTACGTATGAATATCTAATTCTCGAATCCGATTGGATCGATAAGCAAAGAGTCTCAACCGAAGCGGTGTAAACTAATCAGTTGATAGAAAACGTTTATTCACGACTGAATAATAGTTCAGACACAGTTCATGTTTGAGGCCTATCAAGTTCAACCGACCGATCAACCGAGTAAGGTTAACATAAAATATGAATAATATAAATAACTTGTATGTATACTGAGTTTATTGATCCAGACCGGATGACATTCCCCCTCAGCGGGAAAAATCTAAGCAAAATAATTTGAACTTTGAGTTTTACAGTCCCCGAGGGACTTTTTGAACTTTGAGTTTTATAGTCCCCGTGCGACTTTGGATTTCTACTTTCTATCTCTTTACTCCTCTGCCTGTGTTCCAACTTCGTTGGCGTCTTCCCCATTATTTTCATGTTTCTCTTCTTCGTACAATTGTTCGTCTTTCTTTTTTTTCTCATCTTCTTTCAGCGTAACTTCTCCTTTACAAATAGAATGTCATTGCTGTTATCGTTCGATTCGTTTTTTGTTGGTTATGTTAAGTCTACTACGTCTGTTTGTTTCTTTTTGTTTGTCGGGCTAATGGCTTCAATAAATTTCACGCAGGTTTGATTTTTTGGTGTCTTCTCCGTAAATTCAATTTTTGTATGAGCGATTTTAGGCTCGGATAGTTGTCTGTGTTTGTCTTATCTGGCGGCAAGTCAATTTCAAATCGAATTGTTTTTTGTACTTCGTTTGTGTCGTTTAGTGCGTTAATCGGGACAGGATTCCCGAATGCATTTGATAGCGCCGACTGGCGTTTTCGCGTTGATTTTCGTAGTGGCACTGCTGCGTTTGTGGGGGGTTACGTTTTTGATTTAGCCTCTTAGGCGATGGTGCGATGTCTTCCGAGGATATTGACGAGCTATCGTCGTTATCTGATCCACTGGATGTTATTTTCTCCCGGGTATTGTTATGTGTCGTCTTTTCAACCTTCTCCTCTGTTTGTAAACTTATTCCGCGTAATGTTTGCAATTTGTGCGTCGGGCGCCCGCCTGTTCGTTTTCCTATCGATTTGGCCTTTCTTTTTGTCGGGCTGTTCTGGTTGGCCTGGCTTGTTGTCTTCTCTTGTCGAATTAGTTTTATTGGTAATCCCGTTCCTTCGTCCTCCTTGAACATCGGGCGTTGAGGGGCTTTAGGGTTCTCGATGTCTAAAAAACGTAGGCAAGGTCCTGATCTCCGTGCTGATGTATACGCCACGTAATCACTGAGCCGAGAGGGTCTGCACGGTCCGTATAATGAAGGGTTAGAAACAAATGCGGCTCAGCTATTTCTTAATAGTCTTGGCTGTTTTCTGACTGTTTGTACCCATGCGCTGTGTGGTGTGTATGTGAGGATTTTCCCGTCTATAGTTTTGTAATTTTGTTCGAATGTTTTTTGATCTTTTACCTTTGTTGCTAGTCGAATTGTTTTTTGTGCCACCTGGTCTATGCGTTTTTTCGTATTTTTGTCTATTGTCGCCTGTACCCCTTGGTATCTTACATCTAACCTATCCTTGGCTATTTATATAGTTTTAGAGTTTGCACCTGTGTCTTGCGGTGGTGGAAAATTCGCTTTTTGGAGGTTATTCTGCTATTGTGGTTTCACTTTTGGTTCTTGTCTCCCGATGGATACTTCATCTTCCGACCACCGTTGTAGGTCATGCATTAATTCCGCTGGTAGTGGCAGCTTTGTAAGGTTTTTTCTATCTAAACATGCATGTTATGCACTTTCCCAGTTTAAGTTACTAGGTGAACTACTAGTTGCTACGTTTAAAAGAGGAGTGTTCGGTTTTCGGTTCATGTGTGCTTCAAACAGTGAAACTTCTGTGACACCATTTGGCGTGATTTTTAACGTTTTTGTTTCTCTGCCACATCGGAAGTGAGTTTGTATGGTGTGTTTGTTTCATCCATTTTCATTACGGCTAACCTGCGTTTCAATGTTTGGATCATTCCCTCGACTACTCCTATTGCTCTATGATCGTCTACCGGGGCGAAGAGTAGTTTCATATTGTTTGTACTGCAAAAAAGTTGAAATTTTCGAGCTCTGAATGCTTACGCCTGGTCGCACCTTATCTGCGAGGGACCCCTGTTTTAGTAATGTATCTTTGCATAAACTTAATGGCAACATCCGCTGTTGTATTCAAATCAACTTTTGCAGTACGGAATTTTGACCACTTATCTGTTGCAACCAAAATGTACGCGTCCCTTTTTAGTTCGTCCGGGAGGGGCTCTACGAAATCTAACTGAACTTCTTCGTTAGGCTCTACTACTAGTTCCATTTGGAATGAATGTTTTTTTCCTATTATGGGTTTTAAATTTTTACCTTGCTCCGTGCAGTGTCTGCAATTTTGAGCCATTTGTACGATGGATCGGTGGATATGTGAAAACCAAACATGTTGGCACAAATCCAACATGGCTGCCGATCCTGGATGGGTCAGGTGGAGACTATCAAGCACTGTCTCCCGCAACTGAGAAGGAATGACGATCCTTTCATCAATTAGTGAACAGTCCTCTCTGACGTGTAGTCTGTTTCTAATGTTGTGCCAGTATTGATCGTAAGACTCTTTTATGGCTTCCCAGTCTCCCTTTTTTACGAAATTTATAAGGCGGCGTAAAGTCCCAGCCTTCTTTGTGGCAGCAGCATTGAATCGTACGCATAGAACCCGTTGTAATTTTCGGCGAAATAATGGTGTCCTCCCCCGATTCTGTTTGTTTGTGGCCTTCTCATTTTTTGCGACTAGTCCCTCCATGATCATACAATGACTGGCTTCTAACTGCTTTGTTGTCGTCATTGGCGGTGGTTCCACCTTGTGCGCCTTTTCCTCTTGCATGCATATGTTGGGGTCCACGCGGCTATGATGGGGTCCACGCGGACGAGAAACAAATTTCTCCTGTGTCCTCATTTTCCCTCCTATCAGACTCAGTTTTTGTAGCCATTGTTGAGCGTTTCAGTTTGGGCTCGTGTTATTTTTAGAATAATGTCTTTTTGTTTGTTGATTATAGTCGTTTTTTTCTGAAGTGGTGTCGTCTCCAAATATAATTTTGGGGAAGTTCGACTTCGTCCTTGTCTCTTGTTTTTTCTTTGACGATAGTAGTCCCCTTGCATCCTGAACTAATGCTGTCGAAGCAATGGGAGATTTGTGATCATTAGATGAGACCTGCAGACAGAGTAGTTCAGATTATTTACTGTGAGTCGGTTTATAATTGTGTTAATTTTTCTGGAAGTTTCTTCAATTTTTTATTGCAGCTAGACATATAAGAAAATCAAAACGGTTAATTGCGTTTATTTTGTCCAATTTTGTCAATTTGTTCTGAACTCAATCTAATTGTTTGGACTATGACATCAACGTAGAATATACTTTGTTTTGTAATTTTGGCTTGCAATATTATGTCTATACCTTATTTGATTTTTGCTCTAAGATCAATATTTTAGATGAAGAAATACTCTTGTTTCAGCTCCTGGCTCAGTTCGATATTTTTTCCAATCTTACTTCAAAGCCTGCCCGCCAAAAAAATTTATTCACTTTTAAAGAGT